TGGATTACAGAGCGACGGCGGTGGACATTGAGGACTATGCCTATCTGATCCTTGGGGAGCTGGAAGCCGCGCAGCTTGCGCAGCCTCTTCACTCTCAGCCCCCGAAGGTTGCCCGCCTAGACGATCATGGAGCAGCGGCTGCAGAGGTTCCCGACAAGGGCAAGGGCAAAGGAAAAGGGAAGAAGCCATGCTGGGGCTGGCAAGACGGATCAGGTTGCCGCTACGGGTCAAACTGTATGTTTCTACATGCTCCTCTTGGACCCGGGCGATGCTGGGAATGCGGTGCAGATTCCCACCTGAAGCCGCAGTGCCCGCTGTTGGTCAGCGGCCAAGGGGGGAAGGCTTCGGGTGGTGGTGCAGGTGGCAAAGGCGGCGGTGGAGCTGCCCAAGCAGGGAGTGGTTCAGGTGGCTCTGGTGGTGCGGCGCAAAATTCGTCTTCGGCGGCTACTTCGGGGACCACCAACAATGCAGAGGAGAAGCCACCGAGGAAGCCGAGGCGGAAAGGTGGAGGAAAAGATCGCGGGCAAAAGGACGCGGTTCGGAAGACGGAGGAGGAGCCCTCTCTTGAGCCACCCGGTGTTTCTACCTCCCAGGCGACGGGCGAGGACACAGCGGCGAGGACTGAGTTCTTCGAGGAGGCTACCAAAGCGTTGAAGTCGTTGCGGTTAGCCAAACTGACGGTGAGATCCTTGCAGAGTTCGTCGGGGAGTGGTGGTCGGGCCCTCATTGATTCCGGAGCTACTACCTCAATGCGCACGGCAGAGTCTGGGGAAACTAATGGTCTTCCCTTGAGGACAGTGCTGCTGGCAGAAGGGGAAACCACGTTCTATCAGCTGCCTGGGGGAACCCTTCTTACTACCAAAGAGACCGCACCGATCGTAGCGATGAACGACCTTATGGAAATCGGGTGCCGTGTGTCATGGTGCAGTGCAGAGGGGTGTGTTGTGGTGCATCCTGTCAAGGGCAATTTGGGTGTTCGCATTGTTCACGGTTGTCCGGAGGTGGACGAAGCTGTCGGCCTGGACCTGATCACCGAGGCTGAATCTACAAAGCTTCGAANNGCGCGAAGCCGAGCTGGCAGTCAATCGCTTGGTTGCTGGGTGCGATCGTCTTCGGTTGGGGGGCCAGAAGCTGGACTGGGAGATGGGGGTCAAGGCGGTTAAGGACCTCTACAATGGCGTGGGTTTGTCTTGGGCGTGGCTGCATCAAGCGTTTCCAGAGGCCCCGTCGTGGTTGGTGTCAGCCATTCCGGTTGTGGCGAATACGGATGGGAACCACGTGCCTTGGAATCGCCATGAGAGGAAGAAGTGGAAGAAGGCTTCGGCGATTGGCGTGCACCTCTTCTGTGGAAAGGACCGGGCCACTTGGAAGTCACGAGCCGAGGTGGCCCATGTGGTGACAGTGGACCAGGCGGAGGATGTGATGGCCGACGCCACGTATTCGGCATTGCTCGACCTGGCCCTTTCGGGAAAGGTCAAGACAGTGTTTGGTGGACCGCCTTGCAGGACGTTCTCCGTCCTCCGCAATGTCATTGCGAATGCAGGTGAAGGACCTCGCCCCCTTCGAGATCGTGATGGAGATGGACGGTGGGGACGTGAAGGTCTGCGCGATTGGGAGATGTGGCGGGTGCGCCAGGACACCATCATGATCTTTCGCATGCTGTTCTTGTGGATGGTGGCGACGGCAGTGGCCAGAGCAAAAGGGGAACGAGACCCAGAT